CATCGACTTCAGGCACCTATGGTGCCAGTTGCCTGCGGCTGGTTGGTCGGCCAAGAGGCCAAGTGGCATTCAGACAGAGTGGAGTTATGTAAGTCCGGATGGTGCTGATTCTTTTGTTGGCGAGGACGCTGTGGTAGTTTTTGCAATAGAATCTGGGCTATTGGAGGACATTGAAACCGGCACTGATGAGGCCAAGGACGACATCGCACACGCCACAGCACACCAAGACTGTTCAGACTCCACGGCGGAAGACGTTCGACCGTCGCAGATTGATACGGCGGCGGCCCTATCTCAAAACACGTTGGATGCTCTCTTTGGTCCAGAAAACGATTCCGACCTCTCCCAAGCAGCAGTCACCCGAGCCTTTGACGTTTCGCACAGTGAGATGGAAGGTGCGGCATCTGGCCAAGAAGCAGCTACAAACCTACAGCTTCTGTCTGAGGTGTCGGGAGCTGAGAGCGACGGCAAAAGAAACGAAGAAGTTGGACAAACACCTGCACGTGTACTCCGACCACGTGCGAATCTGAAGAAGGACGTCAATTTTGTTCCAGAGGACGAGACCCTAAGCGCGTACGAAAGTTTAAGCTCCGGCGAGGGTGAAGGTGACGAACTGTGTCAGAATGAAGGCTGTGGTGGTGCAGAAGACAGCGAGGAAGATACCGTCGTTAGTGAAACCGACGCAGTGGCACTGGACGAGACGTTCGTGGAGTCACTTCAACTTGGTGTTGATGCGATGTCAAAGAGCGCAACACAACAGCGAGCTGATGCATTGCGTGGTATGACCTGGAGCCTGGCATCTGGATCATTTGAGGAAGGTGTGACGTCGTACCCCGGACTAAACATGGAAGAAGCGCAGCCTGTCCAAGAGTTGAGAAGTCAGTGTCATTCACCGCTGTTGACCTTCTTCTACTTTCTCCCCTTGGCTGATCGTCGCAAGACGACTCGCTTGCCGAGCGATGCTGGGATGGAAGCCCCACTGTCAAAGTCTTCGTGCCAAATCTGATAGCATGTTTTGCGCACGCCTCCGTAGCTATGGCGCGACTTGGGGCAGAGGAAGCACTTTGCGTCTGCGTGTGAGCAATCCTCACAATAATAGGTCGTTTGAAAGGATTTTTTTCGATCGCCTCGTAGAAGAGCGCATACTTTGCAAAAGCGATGCCGGCGCTTTTGGGTGCCTGAAACGGTGACCCAGTCGTCGAACTGAATGTGTTTGTGACCGTCTAGTCGGCGGCGCTGGCGAGAGCGAGCCATAGGAGAAGGTGTAGGAGCAGTAGCTTCAATGAAGTCGTCGGCTTTGAGCTGCATCAATTGCTTATGAAGTAGAAGATACCATTCTCCACGATCTTTTGGTACCAGCCTCTTGATCCGGCATGTTTCCTTGTGTGTGAGATACGCATTGACGAGTGCCATGTCCATGAAACCCATGAACAGTGACTTGTAATACTTCCTGAAACGGAAAGCCGTTTGGATTGAATAGGACTGCAGGCGAAGTTGATCATGTACATCAACTCCGCCCATCCAGCGTTGGTAATCAGTAACTAAGTTTCAGCATTTGACGCAAGACGGCCCGACCATCTTGACGTTGCGACGAATAGAGTCCTCTGCCATGACCGGACCCGTGGCCAGGTAGTGGACCGGCTTTCGGTCCCACCAGTGGCAAGCTATCATGGTCGGTATAGCAGTGGAGCGAGAGAACGCAAAAGTTCCACGCTCAATCGCTCGAGGGCGTGTTTTAAGCTTCTCAATAACTTGCTTGGCGAACCCCAGTCTGTTGACCATGATCGTTCCCACCACGTAGATACCCATCGATAGGAGCTGAATAGCCAGTGGGATAGACGAGTAAAATCGATCGATCACTACCAATCGAAACCCTTGTGATCGATCTCCCAGAACGGCTTTCATGTTTCGAATAACTGCAGCAGCCCCCGTCTTGTCGTCGACTGCTTGCTGATCACCATCCTCGGTCTCACGCTTTCCGACGTACACCTCGAATCTATAGTAGTAAGTTACGACGTAATAAAATATCGTATTACAATTCAAGCCGTAAGTTACGACATAATTATTAAACGAAACAAACTTACCGGTGGCAGTATGCACTCACAGAATCGCAAGCCATAAACAACTTGGTTCCGTATCGATGGGGCTTGTCGGGCATAAACATCCGCGTGGTGTTGCGCTTGGACGTGGCTGGTAGTACGCCTTCGTCAAACGAGAACTTACTGCCGAGTGACCAGCGAGATCGAAACCGAGCTTGCAACGTGTCGACAACAGGCCGTAACCTCCACAATTTGTCTCGAATCCGTGGGGCTTCGTTGTTCACGACATGGAAGTCTCGAAGAATTGACGTGCAGCGGTTTCGAGCCATGAACTTGCCAAAGTTTCCGGCAGGTATTGCACCGTCTTCGGTCATTGACCAATGCCGAGAAAAGCGACGCGTCATTGGGTTCAGCATTCTTGCCACTAAGAGCTCAATGACGTGGAGTATCTCATGCGTTTCGTACGCAGCCTCGACGCGCAATCGCCTTTCAATCTGCTTAACAGTCTCGGGGGCTGGTACAGTGCGTTTCCTTTGCTTTTGTCGGATTCGCTTAGCTCTGGCGTGTACTGTCTGCTTCTTGTAGCGATTTGTCTCCTTGGTGATGGTAACCCACAGTGATTTTGGTAGGAAGTAAAATAGAAGCAGCAAGGGAGGATCCGCAATGTCCTGTAGCTCCCTGATCGGTACGGCGACGTCCGTAGACAGGCGAGGGTACCCTCCACTGTCAGCTTCGAAGATGGACGAAGGAGGACTCCACTCAAAGCTTCGGAGTGCGGCCTTGTCGATCGACTCCAGTGTTAATTTGCCACCTAACGCCTCGACAAATGCGTCGTCCATCAGAGCAACGTCTTCATCGTCCTCAAGTGTGTCGTCGGGGTACTCACGCCTCACGATGATATCGTCGCCACTATTGTCGCTGCTGTCGCTGCCACTAGAATCGACGGCCTCGTATTCATCCGAAAGATCTCCATCGCCCATAACATTCACGTCGGTTACCGGTAGTGCCACACGGCAGTCATCCTCCACAGTCCCACCTCCACACACACTTGCGCCTTCCTCCTCCACACTGGCGCAACCATCATCGTTGTCGTCCGAATTGCTCGACTCGGCGCCTGACAGGAGCCGCTGGAACGCCCCCACGACCATCTCTCCATCCGACTGCTCCAACTGATCCTCCGCTTCCGACTGGGGGTCACTGTCCGTGCCAAAAATCGTCAATAAGGTGTTGGCCGACAGCGCGATGGATGTGTCTATCTGTGACGCCGTCACTGTAACGTCCACCGGCACGGCCTCATCACTGCCCACCTCCTTCTCACTGTCGCCACTCGCTTCAGCAATAAGCCCAGTCTCGATTGCATAAGCCACCACAGCATCCTCCCCTAGACAAGTGATATAAATTAGACAAATGAAGCACATAACCATATACGAGCTTCGCACCAGTGAGCGACTTCCCGTCCGGCGACGTGTACGTCCACTCCTTCGCAAGTCCACCGGAAGGTCTCTTCGACGTCCATCCCACTGCGCGTAGCTGCCGCCAGAGATGCTTGAAGTCGATGGCACGCACGTCCATCGTGCTGGCAACCGCTGATTGCTTCGTCCGCGTACTTGATCGAACTCTCGCCATGGTGGCAAGTTCTTGAATGAGACACCAGTGGCTCGAGTCGGCGCCCTCGGCCACTCATCATTCTGTTCGGTGCAGCACATCTACCCTTCCCCCACCCTTTCTTTTACATTTGCCGAATCGACCTCTTTCAGCTTATATAATTTGCCTCCAAACTTTGACTTGGTTAAAGTATCGTGTCCTCTTTTTTCGAGCCATTTTCTGTTTGAAGGCTCGAATTACGTCGAAGTTACGACTTTCGCCCTACTCAAAGTCGTAACTTACGACGTTGGTAACAGAGGGGTTAAGGTAAAATTGTCTGTTCGGGTCGTTCGGGTCTTCGACTCGTTCTAGCCGCAACAGAGCATACACGTCCATCCGGTCCTTTAGTCAGACCTTGACTAGTTCTGAAGCCATCTTCTTGGTGTGTGGGTTCTTGTTGCCCGCTCGGATCACTTTTACAAGATTCTTTTCGCCGTACACATCTAGCAAATTCCTGAGTAAACTCACTTTGCATTTTGGCTCTGCAGCCCCGAAAAACGTCGCGTACTTGCTCCAAACATGAAACAACGGACTGTCAAACGCGTTCACTCCTTCGCTGTATAGATTGAGCTTCGTGAACACATGTTGGGGCGAATATTTGTGGATGTACCAGTTCCTCAACTGCTCAGCTTCGAGCCGTTTCGCGATATTTGCAGTACTGGGAAAGTTGAGTGCTTGAAGGATCATCTTTGTCAGGGTTTCGTCACCATATTTCGCCGTTAACGTCGCGATTGTAGTGAACTCTGTTCCGTAGTAAATCTTTCGGAAGTCGTCGGTATACTGGACCCAATCGCGAAAAAGAGGGTTCTGAATGATGCCATGTCCTTCCTTATCAAGTCGAAGCAGTTTGAAGACGTCCCCCGGCTCCTTCTTAGTGATCAGCCATAGCTTCGTTTGGATGGCTTGCTCGTGTTCTGCGAACCTCTTTGTGCTCGGAACATTTTTGGCCGCAATGAACATATGTACCAAAGTTTCGTCGTCAAAGCGCGTGGCTAACGTAGAGAACAGAGTAACTAATTTGTCCGGGTTCGCCTTGTTGAAATCACCCGCGTATTTCGCCCACGAGGCCATCTCAGGGTGGGTGAAAACCTTCTGCCCGGCCTTGTCAAGTTTCAACAATGTAAACACATCGTCCGGGGATTTCCCTTGATTAAGCCACAGCTGAAGTTGTTCGGTCTGTAGTCGCTTGGCGAAAGTTGCTGTGCCCGGCACTTGCTTTGCTGCTGCGACCATCTTGGCCAGAGCTTCGTCGCCGTAGTGAGTTGTGAGGGTTCTGATCAGCGACGTTTGTTTTTTTAGGATTTGCCTGGTTGAACAGCTTCATGTCGTGATCCACTCTGTTAGCTTCGAGTTGCCCAGAAGATCCTCCACGGCGACGTCGAGTGTAAGATGCTTAAAAACGTCGTCGGTAGATTTTCCTTTCGCGAGCCATTCATCAAGTTGAGTGCTTGCGGACTTGAGTGAGTTGACAACTGTTTCCACAGCAGGAGCACTTACGCCTCTTTCTTCTTCGTGACCCCTTGAAGACTCGTACAGTCGCAGTAACCTCGAGACACTATCCGTAGGAGTGATTGGGCGTATCTCGGTTCTTTTCTGTCTCCAGTCAGTATAATCAGCAAGTGTGACTGTAACCAGCAGTACATGTAGGACCCAATGCCAACGCATTTTTTCTGGTAGATTGCTAATCGGAAAGTGGTCGAGACCAACCTCAGCGAACAACCCAACGGGAAATGAGCATTAGAGCAACCATACATTTTGCAGAAACTTGGAAGAGTGTAAAGCTATTTTACCAGATTTGCAGACCAGTTCTCATCCACGATCTTTACCGTAAAGTTTACGGTGACCAGTTGCGGTAATGTTCACTTAGCGAATCACTGGATGGTGAGATATACTGTACAGCGATTTTTTTATACTATGCACTATGTCCTGACACTCTCACTGACTCAGTGCATTGCAACAGAATCAAAGTCGCATTAGACGGTGCTGCCCCATTTTTTGGAATCATCGTGAACTACTCCGGAATAAGTGTATTTTCAAACATGTACCATGTATTAAAAAACTTAGCTAAATTTAGCATACATTTGAGCAAAGATTAAGCCCTGGTATTATAAGAGAGCAATCGTTCTAGGGGCTCCTGACAAAAACGAGTAGTATGACCGCCAAGTGAAAAAAACATTGATCTTGTGCTCTCATAAACTGTCAAAAATGTCACGTTCACTTACCGTTGTTGAAGTCTATTGCGTGACTGTACTTGCCTACATGTAACGTACTGTAGGATAACCTCGTTTCTGCCGGATACTCGAGCCCTATCGCTTTTCACTGAGAGTGACGGATCCAATCGGCGTTTTCTTGCGGTGAACACAATAGTTAATCTATTTGATCCAATGGTCGGCCAAAACGACTACCGAATTCCTCGATGACTTGGTCCCCCGTGGTACATCAGCAAAGGGGGCCAACTCATCGATGAAGACCCTTCAGACACACATGCATATCATTGGTTAAAACTGCACGGATCTTCTGACCAGTGTCGGCTGCAAGTCTGTGATTGGATGTTAATCGGGTGGGGGTCGGTGAAATTTGAGGGGGTCAACTCATCGAGGAATTAGGTAGGCATCGTATATCTAGAATACTGACTTGTTACAGTGTAATATCCTATGCAAAATATATATGAAAAGGTCTCTTACTACATTAAGCTGCAAAGTGCAGTCAAGCGCCACCCACATCCGTGGAACTAGAATAGCACACGCTTCTTCGCTACTTTTTCCTCGACAGCGTGCGCGCCCGCGTATACCCTCGGTCAAGAGGCTGTTGCAGTTAAGATGCTTTACGAGATTTTAGAGTCTGCTGACCTAAGCAGTAGTAGCCTAGATGCGAGGCATTCCTCTCAATCACTGCAAACTTGCCTGTCGATACAAAACTTCTATTCTCTACTTACCGCATTCTCAATATTCTTACAGATAAAGAAAAGTGAAAAGCTCGCGCTGCTGATGGCTATGTCGCTAAGTCTAGGGCCCTCGGCTACTTTTCCCAGAATACCAATCTGCTCCACGAGCGCTACACAGATTACCTCTCTGACTCGAAGCGCGTTGCCAATATTCGAGATAAAAAGACTGGTGCAATTGAGAGCGCCATCTCCGTTCGAACATGCAGTCAAATGACGCACCCGGATGTACTGTGCACGACTTGTGTTTGTTGGTGCAGCAGTTAGTTGTACATGGTGATATTGCTACGGGGCTCAAACCGATACGTGATGCAGCACTCATTGCTATGATGTGGCACACATTTGGGAGGGAGATAGATACATGTTTTGCGTGGAAGCAACAATTATGACTAGCTGCGTCAGGCGAGTTGTTTCTTCGAATTTTAGATGTTAAAAACATCGGTTATACAAGATATCTCTAAATACAAAGCCCTAGATCGTTGACAGCCCTGTATGCTACACGCGTTGGGACTGCTCTACGTGTGCTACGACGGGCCTTCGGAATACCTGTTCCGTCTTGTGCTGAGATACGCTATAGTGGACCTCCCTGGAGGCCAAATTTACACTCAGAAGGAGGCGATTATCTATTGGGGAAAAGTCTGCAAAATAGCACTGATAGTGAGTTGGTTCCAGCCCCGAAACGAGAGCGTAAGCGACCAAATATCGCAAGTTATATTACCGAAGTAATGCGAGATACAGTGAAGGCCATGTCAGCATCGCAGCAGCAAACCAAGACGCCAAATATGGCGAACCACTCACTCCGACGAGGCTCAGCAGCGTACGCCAACGCATCCCCTAAGCTGACAATCCAGTTGATATCAACGAGGGGCACTTGGCTGCTAGAATCACTTAGAAAAGCTTTTGTCTATAAAGGAATGACCACACGAGAGGATCAGAGCGTTGGTAAGGTACTAGCAGGATACAAGTCACCAGACTTACCTGTTACGACACCGACTATCAGTGCTCTGAGATAATGTCTCTCGGTTGCGGAATACGGTCAGGTGGCGAGTCTCCGCAATGAACGCTTTCAGCACGTTATCGTGGCCCCGGAGGCGCGGTACAATGTTGCGCCTGATGTCGTCGATGCCAAGTTTGCAATACTATTGATGCATATGAATGATGTTCGTGAAGCGAGCTGCTATACCGCATCATAACTAGCCCGCTACGAGTACCAGCTCCATCGCGCGATCGCCGCTACCAATGGTCGTCTTGGCTGTAATATCAGTACAGTCACTTGCTAAAGATGGGGTGAGAGTCTCACAGAATGCTGGCGCATCACACACGATGCACAAGATAGTAGCACAGCTACTGAGGGTGACGCTTTCCCGAAGTCAACAATGGATAACATTTTCCAGCTGCTAGTTCAAATCAACGACCGGCTGGCTCGACTAGAAGGTACAGTACCCAAAGTGTCTTGCGCCGGATATGGAGCAAGTCCTGCTGGGAATACGTCGGTGGCACCCCTCGCGCTCTCGTCTCATGTGCCCCAGCCCCATCTACTGCGTCCCAGCTTGCCGGTTGTGTGCTGCATTGGTATACAAACAAGATCTGTGTATTGTCATAGGGATTTGTACCGGATCGGGCTTGCTGCTTTCACTTGCGTAATCCAGGCTGGAAAAAGCCGAATGGGAAAGAATCGGAGCTGTCGGCTCAAATGGTTGGCTTTGAATACTAATCTTCTTCTTGAACGATCATATCGCTGCATTGTCCGTGTCCCATCGTCACTTGAGACACAAGTCCGGACTGAATGATGAAGCTGGATAGATATGTTTTTATTGTGTCACAGTCGGAATTTGTCCGGAATCAGCCAATTACTGCATGGCAAATTGTCCTGTATATTTGCCTAACTTATTATACTGCTGGCAAACTGTCCTAGCATATTGGGCAAAACTCACGTTCTTTATAAATTGTAATATGGTACAGTACGTACCGGTATTGATGCTCTTCTAGCCAGCCAAAAAAAAACACTGCACTTTTATTAATACACCGATATCGTAGGTGAATTTGGTTAAGTAATTTCTTGAGTCAATGCATTGAACTTGGCTAGCTTTTTTGGGCTCGAATTCGAATAGGTATAGCGTCGGGTGGACGTTTAGCGATAGCTGCATTATTAACGCGCTTGCTGTCAACATATAAATCAAATCAGTAGCTAGACAAGTACCGCAATGTCGAGCCCTTTGATTGGTAAATCATAAAATGCTGCAAGCTTACATGTTAGCAATTCAATTGCAGCAGATTTATCTAAGCGGTTAAACGGACCGTAGGGGATGTCCAAAGTGGTCTTCTCCAAAGATGTGTTTTTTTTATATTTGTTTCTAACGCAATTTTCTGCATACTTAAATCTTAAAGAGAGCACGTGGCAAACATGTTGACTAGGTTCTATTAAAATCCACGATCCTTACCGTAAATTTTATGGTGATTTTTCTCGTGCTAGTGAAACCCTAATACAAGCTGCATTGCAGTTTACACCGGGTTCAACTGCACAGGCTTTGCGACGTGCAGGCACCGGTATCAAGGCAATAGCTGACCGGCCCATATGCCTGCCTCGTGATGCAGGGGGGGTACAGTTAATTTACTGGTCCTGGTAGTGCAGCGGTACGTTGAATGGACAGCCCTAATAGGATTAATTTGAGCTGTGTGGACCACCTTTACAGCGTTTTTGCGTTGATACAAACTTTATGTGACGATGGCCTCTATTCTCACCGTAATGCATATTGATCTTCAGTTTACCAGGTTTTGACAGGTAAACAACTTCCACAGAGAAAGCATTCTACAGTGATGCTTTCAGCACGGATTTCAAAGACCATAATGTATACCTTAGTATACAAGAGCATTAAACTAAGTAAATACTATTTGTGCTTTGTAGATGGAATGTCGCTCCGTTTATGGCTTTAATCGAGCATGGTCGACGCATAAAACGAGGCATATATGTCAGAAAAAGGCAGACATGGAATAATTTATCTGCCCTCGAATTGCGGGTTTAAACCCGCAAAAATGATTGATTTACAAGAGATCGATAGGATTTGCCTCGAGAACTATCGTAGATCAATTTATTGGCCTTCTTAGCTATGTTCTTATTATAGACCTCGAAAAATAAAACGACCTCATTTTATTAAAAATCGACGATGAACCTAAGTGAAAACGACAAAAGCATTGAAAAGCACAAGAAAGCCAATTTAACCACCACGACCTTCGCTTACAGTAGTCTGTAGTGGCTGTAGACACTAGAGACAGAGTTAATACTGTGCCAATTGGCACAGGGGTACATACGCAGAACCACTGAGTAGTCTGTGCCGACACGCCAAACAGTGAACACACACAAGATAGAAGCACTAGTCTATCCAGCGAATCGTGACTGTGCACAGCAGCACAGAATTTAACCGCATACCCAGCTATATGTAGTGCTGAGCGGTCCAGCACTACACAGTTCGGTGCTTCTACTTTATACGGTTGTCACTGACATTGTAGGCATCCCTTCTACTACTAGTAGAAGGGTTGCTTGGGACTTAATGCTGTAATTTACAGTGTCAAGGGGCTGGCTGGTTATTGAAAATGGTCACGGCGCGTACATGTAGCCTTCCCGCCAAAGTAGCTGTTGCGGAAGCAAAGCGCACAGAGCTCACATATTCCTCTAGTGCCGCTTATTGACTGAGCAAGTGGCGTGTTCGCTCACTACTCGGCGTGT